ATCAAGTTCATGGTACATCTGACCTTTTGGTCAGCAGTACATAAGCACGTGAAGAAACATCCCTCCACGTCAGACAGCCACCTCATGGCTATGATTGGATCCTAAGTCCCATCAAAAGTCGAGGGCTTCGTGTTATCGAAGTCCCGGTACTGAAAAGCCCGACTGGCTCCTCCCCCTGCTGCTGTTACAGCTGTTGTAGCTGCTGCGGCAGCCATCTTAGCTAGGGCTGCATATTTGTCATCAAAATACTCCATCATGGCGGTCTTAATATACCCAAACATCTCCGGAATCTGACCCCGGACAATCTCGACCACCTCCTCGCGGATGATCTCGCTGACACGATCCTCTGTCAATGCTGGCCTATCCTGGCTGATAGTCTCAGGTGCCGTCGGGGCACCTTGACTGCCCTGTCCTGATCCCGATCCGGATCCAGTCACAAAACGCCTCATAACCACCATACTGAAAATACACCAGGAAGATATCAGATAATCAGCATAAATAAATGGGAACCAACTCCCAACTAAACCCTAGGGGTTGTGACTTCCTTGCTACGTGTATGGGTCCTATGCTTTCAGTAGTACGGGCCCATACTACCTTCCACACCTACCCATATTTGTCTCAAGTATCATCACAACGCCCTAACAATATACATATGCATGGTGATCGATCAATCCTCACTCCAAGAGGAAGGCTAAGTATCTCATAACTGGCCAACTGACCCCGCATAACTCTCCCATGAAACTTCCACCATCCCTGCAGCACTAGTGTATGCTAGTAATAGATAATGCTGGACCCTATAGACTGTCGAATACATGATCCTACCCTAAGCCCTTCATCAAACAAGAACAGGAAATAAGGCCAAACAAAACATTCTCAGGCTATAAGATCTTAATTATGTATAACTATGATGCATACACTAAGCAACTACAATAAGATGTCAATTTCATATATAGAAATCCTAGGCTATTTGGCATCATATAATCAGGCAACTCTATCATGCAATTCCTGAAGATCCCTAGCCTATCACTAGCATGATGTTCTAACATATCATAGTATCAAATAACTACATGGTATTTTGGGGTCTACTTACTGGGTCCGGCTGATCGTACACTCTGCATCCTCCTTTAATTATTTGTCATCATATTGATCGTCACACAAAACCTACAATTAGTGAAAAAATTTAGGTCCCTAAGGTTGTTTGGGTCCTTGGTGACTTGATTGGAAAACATTGTGAAATGAAGATTCTAAGAACCAGTTACGAACTTTTGATTTGAGATTATCAATTAAGTCCACTTCATTAGTTAAAGGCATAGAAATGTAATTATTCACAGGTTTAGAGTTTCCACAAACTTTCATCTTTTGCTTCTCAGAACATTTCTCATTCACCTTTGCTTTCGAAATAGGCCTCCACTGTTTGCCCGTGTGTTGCGAATCTTTAGAAGAAGAACTTCCATTCGAATATTCATTCAAATACTTTTCATAAGCTTCCTTGATTTGTTATTGAGAGAACTTCGTTGATTGAAATGATTTTCCTTTTCCTTTAAGCCAATGATTAATGTTTTTCACATCTGAATTTCCTTTTACATACGAAACTTTGGAAAATTGTTTCGCATGAGGATTTGGAAATTTTGGTTTTTTTTGGTGTGAAATTCACTTTTCTTTTATTGTTGATTTCATCAAACTTTTGATTTGAAACTTTTTGTGAAGAAACATGATTTTGATAATTCTTTGAATTATTCGAAAATCGACATTGTTTTGAAAAATGATTTTGTGAAAACCTTGTGTGAAGATTTGTATATGAATTCCTTGTTGATTGATGATTTGTAAATTTCTTTTCATTTGATGTTTGATTATTTGTTTGAAAAGATGATTTTGACCCTTTAAAGATAGATTTTGAAAACTCACGTTGTGGTTTATTTTTGAGACAATACTTGTTTAGTTAGAGCGGGATTTTTCTTGTTTTCAATATTCTTTGAAAAAGATGTCTGAACTGATTTAGACTTTTTTTGTTCAGATGATTTATTTGGCAAAACAATTGATTTCTTTCGAGACTTAATAACTTCCCAAAACACTTTTTCTGTTCAGATGATTTATTTGGCAAAACATTTATTTTGAGACAATACATGTTTAGGTGTAAGACCCATGTATTATATGAGTTAATTAAAAAAAATTAAATATAAATGTCTAAATATTTAAAAACTTTGGATTTATGAGAAAAAAAAAATAATGAATTATTAAAATTATTTTTTTTATCTTTTAAATTTAAATAAATAAACAAAATAAACTAATGAGCTTTAATTTAGAAATTTTGAAATAAGAAGGTAAGTCCATTAATGAAATTGATATTCATTTATTACTATATTTATTGTAATTATTATATTATTAAAGTATTATGTGGAATTTATTAAAATAGAAAAACTCATAAAATGAAATGTGGAAAAGAAATTAATTCAAAATAGCCACAAAATGACATTTGGAAAATTGAATGAGAGTGTGACATGTGGCAAAAAAAAACCTTCATTTATTAGAGTAGACTAGTTGTGAGACTCATTTATTACATGAGTTAGTTTACAAAAAAAGTTAAATATAAAAGTCAATATTTAAGAAATTTGAAATTATAAGAAAAAAAAAATAATGAATTATTATAATAGAAATATTTTTTTATCTTTTAAATTTAAACAAATAATTTAAATAAATAAAAGAAACTAATAAGCTTTAAATTTGAGAATTTTGAAATTAAAAGGTAAGTTCATTAATGAAATTAATGTTCATTTATTAGTACATTTATTGCAATTATTATATTAAAATATTATATGAAATTTAATAAAATAGAAAACTCATAAAATGACATGTGGAAAAAAAATAATTCGAAATAACCACAAAATGACATTTGGCAAATTGAATGAGAGTATGACAAGTGACAAAAACACATTTATTTATTAAGGAGGATTATAGTTTTTTTTAAATTTTTTTTTAAAGGTGTATTATTAGAGGGACAATTTAGATTCTAAAAGATGTTTAAATAGATTGACATCTGTTATGCTATCACATAAATACTAAAAATTTTGCTTAGACACGTAAACATGAATGAAACGAAAAATGTTACGAAATCATATATAAATGGATCTACCAAATAATTACTTGATCAATGGATTAAAACTAAGGGGTCGTTTGATATAGCTTCTTACTGGGTCCAACAGAGGACCTGGTCTAAAAAAGTTAATCAGCTTGTTTGATATGGTCTTTACCATCAAGGACTCGGTCCAAGATGTGGACTCGGTCCAAACTTTGGAGCTGATTCGGTCCTCCCCTTTCTTTTGCTGGACCGAGACAAAAACTCAAAATTTCGATTTTTCCCTACGATTGAACACCTCAACGAGAAGAAAAACCATCTACGAGCTGTTGCTATCACTCCGAACTGCTGCTCGACGGCGTCAGCTTCCTTCGACCACTCAACCAGAGACTGCCAATATTCCGTGTAGGTGAGTTTTCGTTTCTGTTTTCTCCAATTTTTTGTGCTCGAATTTTGCTGGGATGTTGGCTTTTTGCTGTGATGTTGAAGTTTGTTGTTTTTTTTTGTATTCTTTTTTCGATTTGTTGTCTTATAATCGAACTATTGATGATTTTTTGTTTTAAGACTTTTTTCGATTGGAGCTGTTGTTGTGTTCTTGTTGTTGCTGTGAATTTTGATTTGTGTTGTTACTGTCTTCGTATGATTCAAATTGATGTGAATTTTGAACTCTTTTAAAGCTTGAAACTGTGCTGGAGTCCGCATAAGTAAAAAAGTATGCAACATAAAATTATTTGTTTTATGTGGTTCCTCAATCCACGTGTGATAGATAATCAGGGATGAACAATTCATTGTAATTTGAGAATGGAAATTCACTACGTTTCTTATCTGTATCAGATTTTATCTCAGTCGAATTGTTACATGATGTCTTTTCTTCGTTGATGTGATGATTAACTCTATTTCTTCTCTAGGTTATGGACATAAAACGCTTCAACAACATGATGAGCGACCACAGGATACACTCAAGGGAAAGATTGTTAATCCCTGTAAGGTAAACCAAAGAGAAGGTAGTTTTGTATCTGGAAGTGGCAGTTTTGTATCCGGAAGGTAAACCACAGAGAAGGTAGTCTTTATCAAATGGTGATCTGATAAGTGCGTTCATGGAGTTTTCTGAAGATCTTAGGTGGGAGAGGCAGGTTCGGTTTGCCTAATTTGGTCATACAGTTCAAGGCTATTTGCAAGAAATAGGAAGGTACTTCAAGTGTTTGAACAATCCAACCAATTCTAGCATTATACTTTCAATTTTATTTTCTTTTAGGACGTTTGTAGTTTGAAAATCTATAGAATTATCTAGGTGAAATTTTATATTTGTATTATGTGGTGTTGACGTGGACATGGGAAGAAAATGTTGATTAATTATCTGTCAACTGGATTTGTGTTAGATCCAACTAGGTGAATGTTTGTGTTAAATAGTGTAAAAAAGCATGCAACTTTTTAATCTATGAAGCTAATCAATATGATTATCTAACTACTTATGACTCAAATTTTTTTTTTTAATGTTTCGTGTTAAGTAGTGCAAAAATGTTTGTTCATGTAATTAAAACCCAAAACCCCAATCACAAACATATATCTTGATTATTGTTCTTCTTTTAATCTTCATGTTCTTGAGATTATTGCATGAACTAAAAATACATTGTGGTTAAACAAGTTTTGTTGGTGGTTACATAGATTTTGAGGGTAATATAGTCATTTTGCACAGTCAGTCAGATGCAAAATCAAACAACAAATTTCAGTCAGAAGTTAACTCAGTCAGAACTTCTAATCCAGTCAGCTTCTAACCCAGTCAGCTCTAACCCAGTTAACATCGACCCCTAAACAACTTTTACATAAACTTTGGGAGGGAATGCCCCAATTTACAAATAAATAAAAGAATGAAACAAAACCAACGTACAACTTAATATGATCATATCCTACTCAAAATACTAATATACTACAATGTTGAAAGAATTTGCCTCCTTAGAAATCTAATCACCATTAGCACAATCACCAAAATCTTGAATCGCTTAATGCCATGATCACACTTCACAATTTTGTTATAATATTTTGGTAAAAGTATTCGAAATTCATCATCACCAACTTTACTCATATCATGATCATCAAAAACATCTTCCAACTGGTTTTCCACTGCTGTATTTCCACACAACACATCTACGGTGCTCGTTGGCATCATAACGCCTCCTTCAACTCTTTCATCTTCTTCATAATCTTCAGAGAACAAATGGGGTGGTGGTGGACCCATCTCCATACGTTCCCATTCCTCGAAATCCATACCCCACTCATTGTAATCTACGCCAGCCATTGCCAAAGCTTCAATTGAATTTGACATGATAATAATTGATACAAATTTGGACCTGTTTCTACTGTAAAAATTTAACTTAGATATAGCTGATAGTGGGGTTTCGTGCATATTTATATGCTTATATATATATATATGTAGTTCCCTTTGTCCAAATATGAAAAATTCAAAGCTGATCAAAAGGTGGAATATAAGCACTTTTTAGGGTTGAATGACAAACTTGCTCGTGAATTTTGATCATGTTATTGAGCAACCCGTGATTATATGACGTTTGTTAGCTTGTGTAAGCACAACCGCTAATGTGAACGCATGTGAGAAATATCTACATATCCAGAAGCTCACGAGGATAATCTGCAGTGATACATGTCAAGCAAAAACATGAAAAGAACCAAAACCCTCTTTAGAAAATTCATTTTGTTTTCAATTTTTGTCTCGAATGCATGAATCTCTCTCGAAACTTTGACTCTTCAGCAATGGTCTCTTTTCAACAATTGCCTTGAAACTCCATGAACGAGGAGTTGCAGGAAACAACCCACGGAATATTCCGAAGTTCTGGATGCTCTTGGAAGTAGGATTTTGTTTTGAATCCAGTAGTAATATGAATATATGCTATGATTAGTGTTTGTGAGAAACTAAAGATGGAGGGTGGATTTGATAGATTTTACTATTTACAAGTAATTAATAAATTCAAAGTGTGAGAATTATTCAAATTATTAGTTTTGAAACCAATATATTATATGGGTTTATTTTAAAAAAAAAAGGTTAAATATGAAAGCTTAAATATTTAAGAATGTTAAATTTATAAGAAAAAAAAAATAATGAATTATTACAATTGAAATGTTTTTTTTATATTTTAAATTTAAAAAAAAAAATAATTTAGATAAATAAATAAAAGAAATTATTGGTGTTTTAATTTAAAAATTTTGTAATTAAAAGGTATGTCTATTAATGAAATTGATATCCATTTATTATTACATTTATTGCAATTATTATATTTAAATACTATGTGAAATTTTAAAAAAAATAGAAAAAAAACCATAAAATGATATGTAGAAAAAAAAAATGTAAAATGATTACAAAATGAATAAGAATGTGACATGTCGTAAAAAAATCTTTATTTATTAGGCTATGGGGTATGGTAACTACATGTTCACTAGAAAAGTGATGTCACGTATGCGCCACATCATCCTCACTACATGTTCGCTACATACTAACTAGCCTTGAAAATGGTTATTACTCCATATTGTTTATTTATTTTTTATTTTTATTTTTTTGTTTTTTATATTTAGATTAAAAAAAACATAATTAAATATTTCACATTACATAAAAACACATTACATAACTTAAATTACTAAAAAAATATAAAAACAAAAAATTCCAAACCTAAATTACGAAAAAAAACATAAAAATTTAAACCTAAATAACTAAAAAACCATAGAAATTAAACATAAAAAATAAAACGTTAAAACCTAATTTCCATACTTGTCCCGAACTTGTTGTTGGATTTTCAGAAATGCGGCTAAATTTTCCGAGTCGATATAAGGTTGCGGCTTCGTGTTTAAAATTTGAAGATCGGTAAGAGCTTGTTTCCGGCGCCGAGCTTCCTCCGTTGCTTCCATTTTTTTTTTATTATTATTTTTTTTAACTTAGAGTTTTGTCAATTTTTTCCGCAAGTACATATTTGTTACTCGTTTTTCCGCTTGAAGACGCCGCCTTTTTCCCTTTATCCCTTCCCGGTGGTCGACGAAGTTGGACTTCCGATGGAACCTCCCTTTCGGTCCCATCGAAGTCGTCATTGAGGTCGACACCAAAACCCGCATCCGACTCAGAAGTTCTTAGCCTTTTGTTAGAGTCGGTGGTCGATTCCAAATGCGAAGTCTCCGGGTTAAGTACCCACTTTGGACCCTTACGACAAATTTCCCACATATTTTGGTGGCCGAACGCTTTACCGCCGTTGGTAACCTTGTATTGTTGGCAAGCAGTTGATACTATATTGAAATCGTTGCTACCACTTTTATGCATATTTTTCAGATTTTCAAATATGCCATTAAACTTGGTGCAATCCGCTCGTAGATCACGCTATTTTCCATTGACCGCATCGTACATTCGACCCGTTTGCTTTCCCAAAAGCGAGTGAAAGTGATCTAAAACACGAAGACAAAAATTGTTTCCCATTTGCGCGTTGCCCGTCCTTGAGTCACACAATATAGAAATCCAAGATTTAGCTAAAGCTTCCTCCTCATCTTCGATCCAAGTCATTCCTCTTTTATTTGTAGCTTTTCCTTTTGCTTTCCTTCTCCTAGATGGTTGTGTTTCTTCGACCCGGTCGTAGTCGTCGTTGTCCAAATTTATAGGTGGGGATTGAGAAAAAGGGACTTGAGATTGTTGTGTTTGGAATCGTTAAAGTGGTTGTGTTTGGAATTGTTGAAATGGTTGTGTTTGGAATTGTTGCGGTGGAAATTGTTGAAAACCTTGGAAGTGGGGTTGATTGAATTGTTGTGGTCTTTGGTTAGAAGTAGTTTGGTTGATATGGAATGTTGGTAAATAGAGGTTGTTGTTGGATTAAGGATGTTAACACTTGAATGTAACCATGATATTGATCATTTGGAGTGTTTGAGATTATTGGGGTGTTTGGAGTGGTTGGCTTATTTTAATTTTGCTCCATACTTTTGAGAAAAAATGATAGAGTAGAGAGATATGTGAATGATTTTGTGGTGTGATTTGGTATAAAATGTTTGGTATTTATATAAGGTTAAAAAGTATTATATATATATATATATATATATATATATATATATATATATATATATATATATATATATATATATATTTCTAACGGGTCAAAAAATTGACCGTTTACAACAATTGGATTTGATTGATCGTAACAACGCATCATTGGCCTCAATCCACACCACACTTACGGACATGGGGGGCGGTGTTCACGCGTAAGAACCCCCCGTTGCGTCACCTCTACGCGTAAAAATCCATTCCACACCTTCGGCCTTAGGATAGATTTAAATTTTGGGTTTTTTTTTTGGAACTGGTCAATCATTAAAACAGGACGTACTACATAGGGTTATGATTTAAGTAATTGAGTGCAAAAAGGCTAAAATGGAATTTAAAGAGTTTTCACACATACATTGAAATATATATATATATATATATATATATATATATATATATATATATATATATATATATATATATATATATATATATATATATATATATATTCAAAAATGGGATGAAACTTAAGGAGATATGTATTAAATTTTCAGCGAATCGGTTGGACTTTTTTGGAGTATCCAAATCATATTAGAGTTGAATATATCAAGTGGCAAGTCCCAACATCAAACAACGACAAAGAAGCTGTGAAAAATAGAGAAAAATGTAAAACCTTTGATCATATCACCTAATATTGATGAAATCTCATGTGAACTACATTCCCTTTCAATTTTATTAAAAATGACCAAAATGCCCTTTCTTTGTAAACCAAAAATGAAATTACGATTGCTTATGAAGTAGGTGAAAAAAATGCTTGTTGCCAAATCCATTGAACTTTTTATCCAGAAAAAATGCAAATTTCCATCAAATGAAAATAGCAATGTACTTTCATATAGTTTTTTTTATTATAGATCTTACTACCACATTGTACTATTTGAGCATTTTACTTTAAATTATCTTTGTTATTATACCTCACAATAGAACATTACTTTGTCAGTGTATGATAAATATAAAAAATATGTTGTCATTTCTTGCATCTAGATCCTCATTGGGCTAGATACAAGAAAATAACTTATTTTTTCTTATGCTAACCATTTTTAAGTACAAGATTATACATTTATTTTAATTTATATGATTTTTTAACTGAGTTAAAACCTGTCAAAATTGATGAGTTCAAAATATGTTATAATGATGAGTTTATAGGAAAAAGTATTAAAATATTGTATTGGAAGCAATTGAGTTCCTGAGATAAATGAAGGTCATGTGACTTCAAATTAATATAAAAACAAAAGCATGTTAACCTGGTCAGAATCTCCTTTAGCCTTTGGATTTGAGATAATGTTCACCGAAGCAAGATTGTTGAACATCATCACGTAAATTATCTCTTGATGCTTTACTATTTAGGCCTCTAAATCAAAGCTCCCAGGATTTGATAGGCATGAGAGTGGGTAGCAGATCCAAGCGGGTGACCTCCAATACACTACTTACTGAATAAGTTAATACTCAAGCATTAATCATAGGTCTTAACATTGTTTAGGTATGAAGTCTTGTCTAACATGGAGCACTTAGAATTAAAATGGAGCACTTAGAATTAAAATGGAGCACTTGGAGGTGGAATGGAAGATCAAGAATCAACATGGAGCACTTGGAGTTGGAGTAGAGCATAAGGAATGACAATGAAGCATAAGTAATACACCATTATATTGCAAGGTACGTCATCTTTGGCACAAGGTGCGCCACCTATGATCAAGGTGCACCACTTTGGTACTTGATGCGCCACTCTTATGTACCTTGTTTTGTTCCGAGAATGTTGAAGTATTATTGATGAACAAGAAGCAATGATGTGCCATCTAGGAATAAGGACGCACCATCTATGAGCAAGGATGAGCCATCATGGAGCAGGATGCGCCACCAAGGTTCATGTTGCACCATCATGGCTCTTCATGCGTCACTCAAGTATAAGGTTTGCTAGGATGCTCAATTTTGTTCAATGATGATCAAAAGAATGAAGTTGCTGAAAGTGGTTGCTCTATATCGCTGATGCTTAATCATGATGGTAGGCACCCCATAATTATGTGCAATGGTGGTTTATGATGTGCCATCATGGCCCATGATGCTCCATCTTGTGTATGGTTGATGCTCACGAGGTTGAATATTCTAGAAGCGCCCGCATGACATTCCGTGATTGGTTGGAAATTAGGGCATCCCCTTCATGGGCTAATTAAGGATGATCCAGACCCATCATAATTAGGGTTTCCCATGCTTACCTATAAATAGGTTCATATCTCCATCATTGTTAATTGCTA